CCATAGTCAGGGAGCTGTTTCAAGTGGTGAATATTCCTAGTGAGTTTATAGCTTTAATAATTTGGGAACTGTTGTTATCTAGTTCGTTAATAGGAATTTTCCCATAATACTTGGAACATAATGTAGCATTGGTTGCCTCTCTGCCTCTGTTTGAAACAATGGGCAGCAATAAACCAGCAATTTTTCTCCTTGCCTAAAAAATATAGGTACTAAAATTTAATTTTGTAGATCATTGTGTTATTACACAGAAGATCTTTAAGTGATGTATGTTTTGAACTGGTTGCTGCTAGTCTGGTGGCACTTCTGATGTTTGTAAACTTTATTAGCTGTTACTTGGTTTCTCAAAAGTAATAGAGCAAAAATTACTAATTCTATTTTCAAGGTTTAATTTTATCACAAGTAAAGACTTCTCTGTTGTATTTCTTGTTGTCATGCCTGTACCTATCATCTATAATTTAACATCTTCTAAAATGTAGGTAATTTCCTATATTATGTAGATATCGATAGTCGTGATAGTGTACAATTGCCACATTTTAATAGCAGAGTGCAGAAAAGTGATGCAACTTTTTTGAAGTCATATGAGACATCAGTGGCAGAGGTGAGATTGCACCTTAGATCCTGCATTTTAAAATATCTGAAAGTGTATTTATTATAAATAATTGAAATATGAAAGCATATGAATGTATGCATATATTATTACAAATACATATTTGACAAATCATCCTTTTTTACTTTATTATAGAGTATAGAACAGTCATTACTTTCCAGCACTGCAACTACAGGAAGGATGAAAACTACATCCCTCTAATTGGTTTCTGGAAAAATGACTAGTGTAGTTCCTGGTTTATGAACACACATAGTTTTCTGGCAAGCTGACACAGTATATTTTTGTCACCAAAGAAATCTATGGACTGCAGCAGTCCTTTGCTGTAGTCATGGGAAAGTGCTGTGCTGGTGTTGCGGCCCTTCCCGAATTCACACAAGTCTGTGCCAGTGTTAACGGTGCGCGGCCATGCTTCTGTAAACGCAGATTTGGCAGTTGAAGGGGCTCTTGTGTTCGGTGACAGGTTTCATTACTTGTGAATTTCCTTCTGGCTCTTAGCAGTTTTGGGGGGCAGCAAAAGCAGCAGAGAGTTCGTCACCCCAAGCCCATCAGCACATTTCCTGTGCTGTCACTGCCTCCGGTGTCCGAATGTCATTGTCTGAGCTGAGGCATTGACTGGTGCCATCTGTGCCTCCCGTGGCCCCTGCCACAAGTACGCTCCTTTCGTCCCCTTTGCTGTAGCTTGGGATCACAGCTTTGCTTCCTAAGCTATCTATTCTTTTTCATAGTTATCAGCTTGGCGGAGTTTGGCTTGTCTGATTGTCATCCTGTCACCGTTGCCTAGCTCAACAGCAGTACAGTTGCTGGATGGTGAAACCGTCACCCAGCATCAACAGCTGTGCAAACAAACAAGTCAGCATTGATATTCATCAACAGCTTTGTGCCGTCGTGGCATTGAGATACACCAGAACATGTGCAATCTGTCTGCTTTCTTTGTCCCATGTTACATAGCCAGATCGGCTGCTCAGCACCGATGAGGGCGTGATTGTCATGCTGTGGTGTGCCTTCACCTCCTTCCCTTTTTCCTTTGCCTTTCCTTCCTCTTTGTGGGCTGTCTGGCTGCTCCCGGGAACATCTGCCGCGTGTCCCATCTGCTCTCCATGAGAGGCGTGCACAGTTCTGACAAGCAGTATTCAAGTAGTACACTGTTCTTCTGGAGATGACAGAAGACAATAATTTGTATTAGTACTGGCATGTCACTAATGCTCCCTGCTTCTAAAACGCTAAGCAAAGCAAATAGCGTGGAACATTGGCTTGCGTATTTGCTGGCAAATTGTTGTTTCAAAATCCTATATTCACAAGTGAATTTTTCCCACTCCACTTACCTCAAGTAACAATGCTCTTACCTTGTCTTAGAGCTTGTAACTTTTTCAAGGTGTGGTGTGTTTTCCTTAAAAAAATGAAACATCTTTTTCAGAAGTTGTGTTCTTTCCTTACTGGTGTTAGTGGCAAGATTCTTTACATTAAGAGGCACAAAATTGTTTTTTACTATTACTTCTATGTCTTTTAAGGAAAAGATATTAGCAGACTGTCAAGAAAAAACTAGTTCTAAAGTCAGAGTGAATTTAAAGCCAAGATTGCCCTTGCTTCTTATCCATGTCTATTGGACAGCTTATGGTGGTGCAGGTAAACTCTTCAGAACATCTTTCTGTGACATGTAGTCACTTCCAGCAGGATCTTGCCTTGTGACAGCTCCCCTATCAAATTGAACAAAGATAAAGGGAACTTTCTGTGGGTGAAGGAAGATGATGATGCACAGCATAGGCATGTATAGGCAGTGAAACTGTTTTGTTTGTGGAATCGCCTCTAGCTTTGGGTCAAAGATTTGTGGGGATGTGTGATCAAAAGTGCAGTTACTAATTAGCCTGTATTTACCTTTGCCAGTGATATTAACTGTCATATGTAGCAATTCCACATTTACCACGCTTACTGTCTTGAAGCTAACACAGTGGCCTTGTGTTACTGCCACAGGGATTTACAACAGGAAACCGTGAAACATGAAACAAGAACTTCATCTGTTAGCATGTTTGCCTGCAGTTTGGAATTCACCGTAAGCAAGCACTAGGTGTCTGAAGTGTGACCAAGGTGGACAGGATTTTACGGGGCTGGCTAAAAGGAATTGTGCCTGCGTATAGGGGGAGAAACGATTCATTTTGGCAGTGTGTGTTTCATAGCCTTGTAAGTCTTTTCCTTTAGTAACTCCCTGCTTACTCAAAACATCTCAAAGAGAACAAAGAAAGGCTGGAAGCCTAAGTCAAAGGAAGGCACGAGGCTAGGGAGACTTCTAGTGAGGAGAAGACATTGAACAGCTTTTGGTCAGCAAACGGGGCTAGCTCAGGGTCCGTGTTTGGGTTCCGTGTTTGCTAGAAACTGCGTTGTCTGTTACCCACGTTAACTGCTTGTGGAAGCTGTTATTCCATGCTGGCTGCACCGTGCTGCTTTCAGACAGCTGACCTCCGTGGAAGAAGTCAAGGATGGACTTGTATTTGTCTTTGCTTTTACAAGAGTGTACATGTTTTTTCTTTTCTCTTTTCTTTTTTTCCCCGAGAGCATTGTAAGGCAGTACATTTTATCATCACACCACAAGTAAGCATCATAAAGCTGACAATGCCTACAGTGAGTTTCAAGAGGAAAAAATGCATTGGGACTACTTGAGAGAATAGTATCTGCTATGCTGCAAAACATTGTGCATGGGATCTGTAAAATAAAGTATATAATCACAGCACTCATTTGATTAGGTGTGATTAGTGGTACAGTGGTATTAGCTCTGTGCATTAATTCTTGTAATTCTGCTTTTCAGATCAGCTGTTTCAAAATTTATCAAGTCGGTATGTCAGTGCTTGAAAAGTTGTGTCAAGGAATTTAGCAAACAGAGCAAGGAGGAGGGGATGATTACAGCAGTTTATCACCTTTGCAAAGTGGTGTTAGACTGATAGCAGTGCATAACGGATAGGTGAGCTATTCCTGCAAGATCTGCCACGGGTTACTGAGTTGCAGACATCCTCTAAAGGGTTACAAATGTAGTTACAGTTGAGCAGTGCACTGTATCAGTCTGGCACTTTATACTGTGTATGCTTGTTTTTATTTTAACCTGATCCCTGGTGGTTTAACTGAGTGGGATTCCTACTCCCTCCCCAGCCTTTTTAATGTGCATTGTCAGTAGGTTCCAGCAGCACTGCATGGACACTCCCATATGAAAACAGGGTGGTCAGGTGAGATAGGTAATTTAAGGATGAAGCCTTTGTGTGTAGCCTTGAAAAATATTGTGCAGCAATTTTCTGTGATTTCCTTTAATATTCAGCTCTGAAGGCTACTAATCCAACCTTGACATTTCAGAAAAGTACTCAAGTAATAATCAACCTTTCCTCTGCAAAATGCATCCGTGGTTGGAAAAGCTTCTATACAGATCTTCTTTGTAACCCAAGAACACTTTTGTGAGAGAGGAGGAATTACGGTCAAGTTATGCAGATGATATTCATATATGATTTTTGCAAGTATTTTGTTAAAATATCTGGTGAATTCTTAGCTTTTTCTCTTTTGTGTTTGAACCTGGCTATTACTACTTGAATTCTGCAGACTGGAGCAGTGAAAGTTTTATTACAAGTGTTCCATGAACAGAGTACTCGGGCAGCAAGTTGTGAATAAAGATGGCAATTGTGTAATGAAGCATTTGTCACTGCCTGCTAAAAGACCAAAAGTTAAATGAATGGCTGACAATGTAAGCGTAACTACTGGACATGTTACTTAGCAAATTCTGGTAGTTGGTATCAGGTCCACATTTGCCTTATGTGAAGGGAACCCCTTTTCATCTCGTAAGTGTCATTCATTTCTGACACGAAAGGGAGGATCTGGTCCTTGGAACAGAACAGATCTGCTAGTGAACCTAATATTAAGAAACAATAAAACCGGAGGGAATGAAGTGATACTAAAGGAAACCAGATGACCTAAAGTTACATGAAATTTTTCCCTCCAGTGTTCTTTGTTACCCTTTTTGGTTTGTTTACTTTGAGACCATTAGCTGCCGTTCACTGGAGCCTTGCACAGGTAAGAGTGAGACACTTTCTGTCCTTCCATGGGGCTTGCTGGAGTGCTGCTGTAGAGACACGAGTAGATGCAGAAGTAAGCGGGTGTTGTCCTGCTCACTTCCAGGGAACAGAGTTTCACAGGTAGTCTTATTGTTTGTGCTGACTCGCTCATGGAGGTTTTTCACGGACTGAGAGGTTTTGTCTCAGCCCTTGAATTCTGGGCAGTTGTCTCCAGAAATACTGTGTGTGAGGTTTGCTCATTGCAGTCTTACTACTTGTGCTAATCTGCTGGGTTTTGGGTTTTGTTTTTCTCTCTCCCTCTTTTTTTAGATGAGAGATCCTTGGAGCAGCAAAATTTTTCCTTTTTCTCAATGGACTCAGAGGTGCACCAAAGCATATCGGGCAGCAGGACACAAATGGCCTTAGCAAAAAGTACTTTGGAGTCCCAAGAAAGTAATTTCCTTCAAACGGTTTTATCATCAGTTACCACTCCCTTTGATGTGACTTTATTTAACCAAGAAGAAATGGTCAAGATTTCAGAAGGGCGAAGTACGCCGTTGGTAGATGTCTCTGTAACGAGCAATGAGGCATTCTTAAGTGACGATGAATTTATTAGCTCATTTCCAAAGGCACAGTGGACTCCTCCACTGAAGTCTTTTGCAGTTTTAACAGATCATCACTCAGTTAAGACAGTAGAGCCACCAGGAGAAACGTTAGAAACTGTGTTGCTAACACCTTCATTATCTGTCCTTTTTTCACCATATGATATCTTAAAAACAGCACAGCAAAAGACTCCCTTGAGCGCTGTCCCTGAACGCAGTAACAGTCTTACAGAATTGAAGCCTTTTGTACCAGATAGTGAAATGCTAACTGCAAACAGAGACTTGCCGTTGTACCCTCCAAATACAGCTATTTATTTAACTTCCATTCCTTCAGAGGCGGGAATTGCAGTGTGGGAAAACATAAATGCAAGTTTAACAGCTCTGCCTCTTGGGGCTGCTTCAGAAGGGTCACCTTTTCATCTCAAGCTGCTGGATAAAAACAGCCATGTGACCCCAGATGCCACAGCACAGAGTGCAGACCCATATGGTGACATTTACACCTATGCGAGTAGCAGGGCAGCAGAAACTCTCAGTCTAAGGACCTACCCTCCTCCAAGCATTCCCTGGGCCACCCCGGCTTCAGCAGCCAGTGCTGAGCCTGCTTTGTTTCCTATTAGTCTTCCACTTGCATCTTTCCCACTTCACTCAGCTGCCATTTCCACGGACTCTAATATGGTTCTTAATGCCAGCCTGTTTACACATGAATTCTCCAGTACAACACCAAATTTGCCTGCCATTTCAGAAATACCACATCAATCAGAGCTTGTTAGTGAGCTCATGAGTCCAGTGCCTTTCACGAGATCATACAGTTCTTGTCTGTATTGTGACTCAGTTTCACTTCTGCCAGAAGCAGGCTTTTCCTCAGAACATGATGTGGGCTCAGGCGATTATGTTGAAACTTTGTCCATCAAAGCCTCTGAAGTACAAGGCATAACTCCATTTACAACTATAATTACTGACGGGTATGAATTAGAGGAGCCTACACCTGAGATTTTTGATACTTCTTTTCCATCGAGACCAGTTGTTTCATTTTCTTCAAGATTCGCAGAAATCCCTGATTCAAGTGCATTTTTATTAAGCACTATGGACACTGTCCTTAACAGAACAGCTATAACAGTTTCTCCTTACCATCAGCTCCCTGGAGGAACATCACTGAACATCTCTGTTGCCCAGTTTTCCCTCCCTGTTCCGGAAACAGTTGCGTTGACACCAAGCACTCGTGTAGAACTTCCTGATGCCGTGCCGTTTGACTCTACCTTCATCCCAAGTGAGCCGGTAGCATCGTTTGCAGTCAGTCGTACGACTTTGGAGTCACCAGAATTAATGCCATCAGAATCTGTAGTTTTGCTTGACAAGACATCTACAAAGGAAGAACCATCTTTAAATATTTCAGATTTTCCATTCCACATTTTATCAACACCATTTCTTATTGAACCTAGCTACTCGTCTTTATCATTGGCCATGCTAAATTCTTACTCTGTCATGCGAAGTGATTTATCAACACTCTTACCTCAGACCTTGTTGACTGGGATATCAGTACTTTCTGAGGATGTTTCCAGCTGGGAGTTAGCTACCACTGTCAGCTCCACCACTGATGCTGAGGTTTCTCAGTTCCCTCTTGGCCAAACATCATACTTTTATTCAAATGCATCCTCTGTTCCAGGTGCGTATGTTCCTGAAATAACGCTGTCATCAGATTTTCACTCTGAGTCGTCTGTCTTTCTGGAAGCACCCTCAGTACTGCCAGCGGGCTCTGAAGTTGTGTTTACCTCAGCTGTTACAGGAGCTACCTCTCAGTTGGAGCCTTCACTCTCCGCGTCTCACTCCGTGGTTCCTACCCTGGTGCTGCCCACTTCTGACACCCCCTCTGTTACCAGCAGCACCTTGCTCAATGAAACAAATCTGATCTCTTTGTTTACTACCTTTCCCGCAACTCCTGTCTTAAACGTATCTTCATCTCTGCTCTCAACTGCTCCGGCTTCTGATGAGGATATTGGTGCTAAGGTTAACCCCACGCTGCTTTTAACGTCTCGCAGTGAGGGCAGTGCCCACACAGCCCTTCCTCCCGCAGACCCTGACAACCTGACATCACGTGCCGACACCAGCAGCGTGATGCCCTTTCCTACAGCATCTCTGTCTGTGACCACGTCGTTTGCTCCCACGCAATTTCCTCCGACTTCTAGCCCTCCCACTGGATATGAAGTTCCGGCAGGAAGCAGTGTAACTGCTGGTACTGATGCATCGGCTGCTTCCACCACTGTCCCCGCGACCACTGCCACCAGTGCCGCAGGCAGCCGCGGCACGGCTGCTGCAGGCAGCCTGGGGACGTTCTCCTCCACCCCTCCGGCGACCACTACTCCATCTGAACCTGTGGTCCTAACCTCTGCCGTGACCACTACCAGGCAACCCTATGTCTGCGACATCACAGTTCCCGATGCTTATTTAGTCACTGCGGGTAAGATATTCCTAACATTTTTATTTTGTTTTTCAGAAGCCACTGTAACGTGTCTCCCTAGTTAAATTGCAGCTGTTGAATTAGCTACGTGAACCTTTCAAAGAAATATGGTGTAAATTTAGACAAACAGCTGTAAAAGCGTTGATTTATCATATACTCTTGAAAATAATAGAATTCACTTGAACAAAGTCCATTGTGATAGTGAGTTACATATACGTTACACTGCACAGAAAATGAAATTGTCTTCTAAAATTGCTGGTGCCTATGTACAAGTATACTGAATTAGAGGTTGCTTTATCATTTCATCAGTTGTAAATGAATGTTACTGTCATGGTATGGTTCTGCCAAACTATTAAATGATCTGACTAAGTTTCTCCTTTCAGTGGTTGCTGCTGTTTGTAAAAAAAAAAAAAAAAAACCTGCATGTGAGGTAACGTTGTAATGTGAAAGAGGAGAGTTGGTTTAAAAAACGTTTGTGTTTTGTTACCATTTTTATAATTTTACCATATTAGCTTATGTTTATGTTTTCCCTTCTCCCATACTTACTTCAATTGGATTTGGTGTGTTTGTAACCCAAAAAAGTGACGTTAGTGTGTTTCAAAATTAATTGTCTCAACATCTGTGTTTGCTTTTTTGGTGTTTTCCTACCTCTTCCTAGCTTGTTAACAAAACAATACCAGCAAACTAATCCAGGGCAGCTGCAGAAGTGCTGCATGTTCTGTGGTAAGCAACACATTTTGCCCTTAAGATTTACTTGTAATATATAAAGCAGAATGAGCATAATCTCATCCTCCAGATATGAAGGTGAGCTGGCTATGCTGGTGATGAGGAAGGGTTTTTTTTTTTTTAACCTGTAATTTGAGTAGTTTTGTAGGTGAGTTACTGATGGAAAGTAAATATGGGATGACATGACACTTTTCAGTTGTTTTCTTGACCATAGTCACAGTCTCAAGTGTGACTGTAACAAACCCAACATCCATAGCGATGTGGGGTTTTTAAAGCAGTTCTTCCTCAGTGGATATCCCTTTCGGTAATCAATGTCAAATTTGTTTACTTTTTATTTAAGAGAAAAGTAGATGCATATTTTCTGTGGCTTTTTTCTGACCTCATCTGCATTCCGTGCATTGCCTACAAAACTTTAACTGCGTTATGACAGCAGGCTCGTTGTGCACAGGTCAGACTGAATGTGCTGCGACTTTCAGATCCAATTTGAATGCCTCGGTGGCTCTTCAGAAGATTCTTTTACTAGAATGCTAAAGACATTAGATATGGAAAAACAAAACAAGAGAGAGAAAGTAAACCTGGAGTTCCTTAAACTGTATGTACAGTCACTTTTTAGGATACGGTCATACCTTTACCTGTTTCCTTGTCCATTGTCTTACCCGTTTGATGCAGTTGATCTTATTGCCTGCTTTTTCATGCATTGCACAATTGAAAATGCAGCTTTGCACCAAAGCCCAGGAGGTGAAGCTAAAATGTATTTACTGACTGACATTAATTTCCAGTGCTGGCCCGAAGAGCTGTTCTACAAAATGTCAGTGAATCCATCAGAGAAGTGCTCAGAGTTCAGTTCAGGCGATCAGTAGAGCTAGAGGTAAGTGGTACGAAGTGTGTACAAGTACTCCTTGATAAAGATAATACAATAGCGGTTTTAGTTCACAGGCTAAAACGGTGATTTAAAAACACCCCATGTGGTACTATATCTGAGAGAAGTTTATTTTTTAGGTGAGTATGACATCAACTATTTTACTTCTAGAATGACATCATTTTCTAGGACACACCTTACTTGGTTTTGCCAGAGGTGAGCAAGCAGTGCCTAGCCTCTACTGCTCACCTGCTTTGGCTGGTGAATTGCAACTGAACTGAACAGCTTTTACCCTTCAAAATACCTGTTAGAAAGTTTTGTTTCTTCTGCTAGCTGATTATATACTTAGCACCTTAAACAGAACAAAACCTTCTGCACAGCCTTGTGCTATTTTGTGTTGTAAGCAAGGCCTTCAACACTTGCAGGGGAAGTGGTGGAATCCCAAGTGCAGGATTTGCCAGATGAAAAAGGCAGGGAAAAAATCAGGTGTGCAATGGTAAGGTGTTATTTTTAAGCCTTCAAATAGGTGTGACTCCTTCGCCCACTCACAGGGCTAGGAATTGCTGCGCTCTTGGGTTTTTGGTTTTTTTTTGTTTTTGTTTTTGTTTTTTTTTTTTTTTTTTTTTGAAAGCTTCCTGTGCTTTGATGTTCAAGGAATCATCTTTGAACAATATTTCAGTGTGGTTTCCTAACCTCAAAGTGAGCGTCTGGTTGAGATGAGTTTTAAAGGCTCTATTCCCCTCCTCTGTGTCAAATCATTTGCCTGAGAGGAAAAGACTGTAGAGGTAGTTTGGGGGTACCTTTGTTGTATAATCAGATACTTCAGCTCTGGGGACAAAATGAAATGTTTTAATGGAATTACTGGTGTAGGTGCAGGTTCAGCTGCACTTGCAATTTTTCATGTCTGCATTCATGCAGTTGAGATAGCCCAGCACTACATTATCTTACTTTTTTGAGTCTATGATCTCATTTTCATTATGAAGTTTACTCAAGTATCAGTTTGAATTTTGAACATAACTTGAGTTTCTCCATGCACAGAATCCCTTGGTGCTTTTAACTTCTGCGTGCCGATCTGTGTGGGGAAACAGTGTTTTAACAGCTCCTGCCAGAATCGCTGCACTCAGTAATCACACAACTCCTATCTGCTATTTGAGAATATACCTCTCTACTACCCAGTCAAGATAAGAGTGTTACGAATTTCTGCCAAACTTCAGCCACAGTGAGCTGCCATTATAAATTATGTTTAGTTTACATCCTTTTAGCAATACCTGTCCATAAGCTTTTTAAGTTTTTTTGTAAAGAAGAGATTTTTCTTCTGGTTTGTGAATTATACCTTCAGATTGTGCAAACTGGCATAGTCAGGTAGAAGTCAAAATTTCATGATGATAGAACTATGCTAATTTTCAATTACCTTATGGAAGCGCTTACCCTCTTAATAGTAACAGCAGTAAGACAAAATCTATTGCTAAATATTTGAAGGATGACTGGAGCCGACATTTGATATCTTGTTGCTTTACATTTTTGCCCTTTAAATTCTTTCCTTTCATGCCCGCTATTGCCTTGTAAAGCTCTCAATAGGATATTTTGGCCCTAAGGGTGCTCAGAAGCAACTGTTTTTATAAATAATGCAGTTAGTCCAGCTTCATTCTTTGCAAATTCTTTTTTATCAAAGGAGAAGACATCTCCGTGGAGTCAGTTATGCTTATTTTATGCTAGAATGCTGCTATCATATGTGTTGTCTTTGTGATGCCTTGGGTATGGGTTTTGCACTAAAAATAATCACTAGCAAATGTCTTCACCTCTAATGGTGAAGTACTAACAAAACTTATTTTAAATAAAGAACTCTCTATAGTATCGGCATGTTTAATGGTGATGTAATGCAAAGTTTTAAAGAGAATTCGTCTATATTGCTGAACTTAATTAATCAAACAGATCTGACTTTTGTTAGATGAGAGTACCCAGGAACTGTGTCTACATTTGCAAGTTATGGTAAAGCGGTGCACTTCTCTAAGCTGCTTTTTCACTGTGTCTCCTATTACAGCTCACAGATGTTGTTCCCCTGCTGTGATGTAATGCACAGTGAATCAGGAGACAGTCTTGTTAAATTTAACTTGGTAATAATGTATGCTTTAAAAATAAAATCCATGGCAACGATGGATATAACTGCTGCTCACTTTAAGTACAAACCAAGTTTAACACTGAAAGGAGAATTAAAACATTTTTTTCTTCCAGGTTTTTCAGTTGAAACTTTGGTCTCTGCTTCTTTATTATTTCAAACATTCTGAGTTGTTGAAATGGAGGCAAAAAAAAAAAGGAGGCAGGCTTGAATCCTGCCTAATGAAAAAAACTTTTGTCAGTTTTTTCCTAGCAAAAGTCCTTACAGCAAAGTGAGAATAACCTAAAATTTTAAAGTTCTCTCCAGTTGGTCTCAATGTATTGCATCTGCAAAAGAATAAGACCCTATTGTTTGAATAAGAGTAATTTTTGTCAACTTTCTCTAATGTAAACCTTATGACACTTGGGTAAGATCTGTTATACAATGTTCCCTTGACTTACCTTTGTTGCACTGGGGTGTGAAATAAAATAGTGTTGGCAGTGACTTGCTGCCAGGACCCCTGGTGCCATTAAGTTCACGCCAACAGGAAAAAGCTTTTTGCCAGCCTCATTTGTGCTTGGAAATTTTGTCAGGCAGTATAATGTGTACCTCAGCCATTTTGTTGCTGTATTTAATGTGGGTTTTGGGGCCTGTCCTTAGCCTATTGGTTTCTATAATCCAAAATTAGTAAACCTCTGCCTTCAAAGTAAGGAGATCAGTTCATTGTCAGGCAGTTAAATACTTCTTTCAAAGGTGCCACCTTGTGGACTTGCGCTGGCTTCATCATTACTTACTGCTGCTGAAATTCTGGCTGGTACCATTTAGGTGTGTAAAAACAGTGAGAGAATTGTTGCCTTAGGATCCTCGTGTGTAGAAGCAGAAGCTTTGTTTCATTCTTAAGACCTGTGAGCCTTTGTAGCCCATCTTCAGGAAGTTAAATGCTCTCCGGAGGCTCTTTACAGGATGCTTAATAAGGTGGTGGAGAGGAAATCGTTTGGTTTTGCTTTCTGCCAGATGTTTACACAGCATAATACAGTGGAGTATCAGCATGGATTGGATTGTAGCAAAGGTGTATCTAATCAAATATTTTAGTGGACAATAATCAATAGCAAATGCTTAGGGAAGATAATAAGGGACAGAGTAAAGCATACAATGATGTTTTCCCCAAATACTCTTCTAGCCTCTAGTAAATTGAGGCTTGAAAACTTTCTGTACTAGAAGCACTCTCTCTTGTGAGGGTAGCTTTAAACGAGATAGGTTGTGTCCTGGAAATGGCAGAGTTGGATTAGCTGTCGCGCTTTGGAGAAGGGATAGCTTAACTTGAGGTTGTGTAAGGGTTCTCTGCTCCTACTGAAGGTTTCTGCTTTTGCTGTGGGAATGGCTCCAAAGGGCACATGGAGTTTTGTGTGCTTCTCTGCCTTTCTGGCCCAAAGTGTTGATAAGAAATTTGTGTTTGTTTAATAGAATCATAGAATCGTTTAGGTTGGAAGAGACCTTTAAGATCATCCAGTCCAACCATTAACCTAACGTTACCAAGTCTACCACTACACCAATTAAGGGTAGAGTAGCAATTTCGTTGTTTCCTGGCTTGGTGGCTGGATTATCTTTAATGAAAGTAAAAACTAGGAATCATTAAGGTTGGAAAGACCTCTAAGATCATCAGTCCAACCATCAACCCAACACCACCATGTCCCAAAGTGCCACATCTACCCATGTTTTGAACACTTCCAGGGATGGTGACTCCACCACCTCTCTGGGCAGCCTGTTCCAATGCTTGACTACCCTTTCCATGAAGAAATTTTTCCTAATATCCAATCTAAATCTCCCCTAGCAGCGCTCTAAAATGTGGTGGTTCAGCGAGCTAATTTGTTAGCATCTAACTGTCCTGACAGTAGAGGTGAAACCTCCAAGAGAGGGTTGGATGGCTGGCTGGGTTTGTGAACTGTTAGAGCTGTGCCAAGAGGAGCTATTCTTATTCATGAATCAAGAGTCATGAGCTGTGCTCATCTATCCTAGACAACTTCGCAAACTTCTCTGAATTAGCTTGTGGACAGCATCATGCTGGCACAGCTATATTATTTCTGTCATCTGAATTAGGTTGTAGAGAGCTAACTCTAGACAATCCTGCAATATCTCAAGCAGAAATAGCTATTGATTTGACCTGTAGTGGTTCTAATATACCTACCTCAAAACTACACTTAAAAGTTTTTTTTAAAATTTCCATTCTTCTGGAGTTGCTGTCACTCTTCTGCTGCAGTGAAGCACAAAAGAGAAAGTGTTAGCTGTGAAGATGAAAAAATTGATGCAAATTTTCAAGGGGGATGTTTGGGGTAGGCTGCTTTCATTGCATCTATGGTGCGCTGCAACAGGTCTGAGATGGAGACAGCTGAGTTAGTTATCAGAGGCTTGCTTTCTTGTCTGAAATACCTAACTGTAACGGATAAGTATATGCTGGCTACACTAGGCTTCTCTTTCTCAGCATATATTGCTTTAGAAATCACCAGCAAATTGTCACTGAGATTTGTAATTCTACTTCTTCTTTTTCTTGCCTTTTAAGTCATCTCCTTTGCAAGTAATGGGCAACTTTCTTTTGGCATGTCTTACCCATTATAACTGCTGTTTCCATTTGACAAACTGAAGCTGCAGAAATCATTTAATTCTGAGATAAAAGGATAAAATTTCAGATAAGAGGAACTGAAGAGAGCTGTGCATATTATTCCTATCAAACAAATTTGAGTTCTGTGGGTCTAAATCCATTTAAAATAAAATCTGGATGCTGCATATATTTGTGGACTAAGAAGGAAGAAAGGAATAATGAGCAGCATAGATTATTTTTTTTTATTTCCCTCTGCTACTGAGGTAGTTTCTTCTGGTGAAGGTAATCTCCTTGAAATGCATGGTTTTTAGGGGACAGGAAAGAGCTCTTTGCTGTCTCATCTAAACAGCAATTGCCACTACTTTACACTGTTGCAGAAATAACAGGAAGGAACATGTGGGTCACAATTTAAGTAGCGCCATGCTTTTCTATCAGGCTGATCCTGAAGTTGAGGATACCTAACATAGATCTTCACCAGCACAAAGCCTGCAAGGTGCTAGCACCTCTTCGTCTAAGGGGTGTACATTTATCAGAACCTTTGGGTCTCTGGTTTAGATTATTTGTTTATTTGTGAGGCCATCATGTTGGACATCTCAAAATATTTTAGTGTGACTGCCTTGGGGGAGTAAACCAAAGAGGAAGAAAATAATGCGGGGAAACAGGTGTCCTTGATATTGAGAGAGTCTCTCTGAAGGAGAGAAGACACTGCAATATGTTTAAATAAATAAAAGCCTTCAGTTTGTTTTTACTTAGGTGACAGAGAAATGGTGAATAAAAGTGTTTGCATGGAAACATTCACCTAGGTTTATATTTAACTTATTTCTTTTACATGATGACTAAGGCTCCTCAGGGTCTTTAAGAAGTCTCAAAGTCAGGTGATGAATTGGAAGAGGAAAATTGTAATTGTGGTAACTGCTGAAATACGCAGGTAGAATTGTTCTCTGGAAGAAAGCATTCTGGAGTGTGAAATTATATCCATAAAACACAGGTTATGTGTATTTGCTTCTTGTGTATCACCTGTGAATGGTATAAGATGTATTCGCTATGCAGTATATGA